TTTAATATTTACTTTGTATTTCACGATTTTAATATCTCTTGTGAAAAAATAACACAGAGCCAAAGAGAGAGAGAGAGGGGGATAGAACGCGTACGATATTGCCTTTTTCTTCAGTTTGTGGATACTGGAAATTGCGCTCACGTTAATTTTTCCACGTACACGAAAATAAACGTATCGCAAAAAGACGCGCGTTATATTTATCATAGCAATTTCAACTGAATAGAAAAAGGCGAGTTTACGAGACGGAAGGAATATTAAAAGTTGCCGCTTAAAGAAGTCGTTTTCAGCAATTTCCGCGAACTTCTGATAGGCAATGGAGCAATTTCGTTGACGTTTAGACGAGGAAGTTATTTATTATGCCGGAAATTTATCTCCCTTTGATCATAAAGAACGGCACTATTATTCATTCGTTCGAGATGAAATATGCGTTTAATGTCACGTCGTCGAAGAAGATGAAAGACCTGTAATATTGCCCACAATGATACGTTCTTTTTTGTTATTGCTGTAGCTATTATTATTATTATTATTTGGTCATCTTGCGAATAAGCTCCTATCGAGGAGAATTGATGGATTTTTTAATTAGAATTCCAAAGAATTCTTTATTTTCACGTTTCAAACGGGAAGAGAAATATTTGGATCGAGTATTCGAGATTAGATTGTAAGATTGCTGTGTAGGAATTGCAGTGCAAAGTTAGAAAGAGAACACGGAAAGGGGAAAATGTACGCGAGAATTTGAATTATGAACGATAATAATTAGGTAATATTTGAGATAAAAAGTGTGGCGGTATTTGCGTAACAAAATTTGCTCCTTTCACTCCGAAAAATAATTATTACGATAACGAAAATACTTCTGGGATATTAATGCTCCTACTATTTGCTGAATTTTTAACAAAATATGCACGGTCGTATTTTACGCGATGTTCATTTTCAGATTTTCACAAAAGTTCGGTTTGAAATTAATGGAAAATAATATTTCAATATTTGAAATCTCTAGTAACGGGAAAATCTTTAATTAGAATGATTTTAAATTCTAATAAATCTAATTTATCAAATTATAATATTAGAAAATATTCCAAAACTGTAATATTGGCATCACCATAAATGACACATCACTAACTTAGAATATCAGCGTACATTAGGGAGACGAATTACCCGAATATTAGATTAAATTACACAATATTCGATTAAATAACATCCAGGTACTGTGAAACCGGGCTTATCGTCGCATTATCATCCCGAAGAATTGAAATATTAGTGCATTAAGGTAATAGAGGTAATGGAGCATTTGAGCATCGACGCATGAATCCACTAGATGCACTAGAAAATCAAAATATCGAGGTAACATGGTATTCAGGTATCAGAGTATCTAAGCATCCAAGATATCGATCCACAGAGGTATCAGAATAACGAAATATCCGAGGTGTATCGAGGTATTTGATCGTCAACATGTTGAGGTTTCGTGATACCATGTTATCGAAATATCGAAGGTATTATAACATCGTAACATTAGGTTACCAGGTGTACATGTAACTCAGTTTAATATAGCACAGAGAACTCGAACCTCAAGAAAAGAGAAAAAATCTTCGAGTTACAGAAATTTCGACTTCTCGAGTTTTCCATAATATCCTTTCTCTTTCTTCACCCAGTTCATACTATTTCAATTACGTTCATTTTATCAGCCAACCTTAATCCTTTCCGCTTCCGTTTGAAATTCATTTTGTTATAGACAATCCAAAGAAAAGAATGACAAAACGACAGAACTGTGCTTTAACTCGTTCCTTTGATCTTTCACAGCAAACTGCTTTTGCGATCAAAACGCATGCACTGTTTATCCCCATAAAAAAAAAAATTAACAATTGACGATTCCTATCGAATCTATCGACTGATACACAGAAATTAACTTCGACTCGCAGCGGTCGAAGTTCGTCCGAATTCGAGTTGTACAGGTAAAATACATATCAAACGTGGCTATAGAGGTTTTCACAGCACAGCGAAACGGAATAAAGAAAATTTTCGCCTTACAAAGCTTCCCCAGTTATCGAGTTTCCACTGTATTACGATATTACACTAAAGTACACCGAGTGTTCCGATACTGACTACATATACAAGGATCCTGAAAACTCTCCACCTCCTAACCCCCTGTATAATATTGTAACCGGAGAACGGAGACATATCCTTGTTGAACGAACGCTAACATAACCAGGAATTTGAGGCAGCGGTATCCGAAACAGGTTTCCGCACGGATCCGACAGCCGCACAACGAAACAATTGGGGATGCGGTAATTTCTACGGCCGCACGATCATCGATGAAGCTTGTAGCGGTCGGTGCTCACGCAATTCTGCCCTGATTAGCCCCGCGCGCGCACCGATGCCCCGGCATATTTAACTAACTAATGCAGTTGCAAATTAGCTATTAGTAGGTGTTACACGCGGTGGGAGATAGGCGTAGAGGGTAATCAAATTAAATGGAATAGTTACTGTCTGCCGTGTCGCCGGAACTACATAACCCTGTTAGCCTAACTGCACAAAGTGCACGCAAGTCTGAATATGCACGCCCAGCGGCGAGTCCCGTGTGCGTGGGGAACGCGAGAACGTGTAACATTAGCCGCACTGTACGAATAACATGTATAAACAGGGGATGATGCGCGCAGGTGAAATCTCCGCGTGGAGATCCCTCTATTGAAACGTCTGTCAAAGAGGAGAACGTGGATGGAAAATCGAGTTCGACGGGGAATTGCTTGATACGGGAAATTCGAGCTGTTTTAGATTCTGGCAGAAGTAGAAGTATCCCTTCTTCGACGGAATCAACTGCAGGGCACGTAACAAAGTGCACGCAAATTTAATCTGTGACATCGATGTACAGTAGTGCACACATAAGCGCCCGCATTTTTGCACACTTAAGTGTCCGTCGCTATCCCCAGCAATAGGAAAAAGTACAGTAAATTCTCCACAAGTGTCAGTCCGCAAGGAACCTAAACCTGACACTTGTAGAGTCAGGGACTACGTTTTCGAGCCTCGCGCCCGCCTTTGTAGTTTGCCGAACGTAGACAAGGACAGCGAATAAAAGATAAGGATGAAACGTGAGTCGAGGCAACCAAGCGATTTAAATACCAACTTTTTTAATTTTACGTTTTTTTTGATATCATTTTCATCAGAAAAATCTCACCAACATGTTAAAAGAAATTTCAGATGAAAAAAAGTAAAATTAAAAAAATTATGTTTTTCTATTATGAATTGTCGAGTCGTGAAATCTGGTAAAAGAAACCGAGTGGTGTAGCGTTACACGCTTGACTGACTACGAGCGAGATAATATAGGCGCAGCAATGACGCAGGAAAAAATTTCAGATGAAAAAAAGTAAAATTAAAGAAATTATATTTTTCTATTATGAATTGTTGAACCGTGAAATCTCGTAAAAGAAACCCAGTGGTGTAGCGTTACACGCTTGACTGACTGCGAGCGAGATAATATAGACGCAGCAATGACGCAGGCTAGGCGTAGGACCATCTATACTGACACTTGTAGAATCCAAACTGACTGACACTTGTAGAGAATTTGCTGTATTCGATATCGACTCCTGAATGTGAACAACTGACACTTGATATATCGGTATCCCACATCTCCTGTCTTTTGTTTAATTAAATTCGCAGAAGTCACCTCCCCACTTAAGCGTGCTTAAGCCGCTTATGTGTGCACTACTGCATGCAGTGAAATTTTCTCCTGGAATTGTGAAACACGAGAGTAAACGTTAAGTGTGCTACTGTTGAAAGTGGTGTATCGCTCGGTTCGAAGTATAATATAGGAAGAGATATTGTTTCGTTCGACGATACGTATCGATTGAGAAAATCTGACGATTCTGTGCTTCGATTTGTTGCAAGTTTTAGCGGAGCAAGGAAGGTTTCAAATGTTCGTCGAGAACTCCTTATGCAAACATTTGCACACGATTCGGGGGAATGGTAACAGATGTGTGTGCGTGTTACCGATGCAAATCCTAGAAAGTGTGTTCGTATCGATACACGAACAAAGGACACAAGCGAGCCATTTAAACGGAAACAATGGCTCCATGTTACGAGGATGGAATTGGTACACGAAACGAACGGAAGGCGGGCACAGGTCGAGTACCGTAGACAGAATATTACCGGTTCATTATACTGCAAGTTCTCGGAAGTTTGGAGTTGCTACAGTAAACCAAGTAATTGTTATCAAACGCGATAGATATGATCAAGTTACTCGAGTGCGTATACACGAGAGGAGTAGCGTTTTCGAAATAATCTGATGAATCGAGAATGGTGGATGGAAATATGGACAGCTGGCATATGTGGAATTCTAACTGTTTTTTTTTTGCTGTACAATATTTAATAAAGAGACAAATTATGTTACTAAACATTATGTAGGATTTTTTTAAAGATATCAAATTACGATCACTGTATGCATTAAACACTCAGGGACATGTTAAGTTACATTCGCGTTACCTGTGAATCACAAAGTTTCAAACAATCTTAGGGTGAGAGGAAGCAAATGACTATTTAACACTTTATCGACCACTCACGAAGTATTTATCAGAAAGCTGTACCTACAAGATTTAAATAAAAATTGGAAACAGTCCTTTCATTTTTCAATGAATTTTCAATTTTTAATTTTATTTAATCGATGGTGTCAGATAATTTACTACCGATTGATAATCGCTGGAAGCAAAAAGTCGATTAATAAGCCTTAACCCTTTGCCTTATAATAACAAGACATACTCGTCACATAAATTTTCGTTTTGATTCAAAAAATGAAAAATTGCCAAATGTAATAAACCTATAATACAATATTTTAGCTTCTTCAATCGAATGTAGCAGATACTTGAAACAGTAAATAACTGACGTTCACATGTATAGCCAGGAAAAGAGGTCGTAAGTGAAGGAGTTAATAAGCTTCGAAGTCGATAAAGTGTTAAGATAGGAATAGGGGCTAATTCGACAGTAGTAATGCAGGTTTTCCGAGAATTTCCACGAACCTGTGAGAGCTGCTCTGTCGTAGCCTCGGTCGCGAGTCTGGCCAGGCCCTCCTCATACCCCTCCAGTGCCGTCAGTCTGAACAGCAAGTTTTCCAGCAATGCCGAAACTTCCTGCCTGGCCGCAGCGTCGACCGCAGCGACCTTCTGCGTGATAGACCTGACGTGGCCCATCACCCTCTCGTCCCGGAAGTCGTAAGGGAATGTTTCCGTCCATTCGGCTAGCAGCTGCACCAGTCGCGGCACGAAACGTTGCAGACGTTCCTGGAACACGCCAGACAGTTTCTCAACCGTGCTCCTCTTCCTCCCTTTTTATTAGTTCACTTGCTCGCACACGCGTTGCCAAACAAGTTTCGGATTAGCCGAGGAAATTGGAACACGAGAGAGAGAGAGAGAGAGAGCACGTGGAACGAATATAGCTGAACGTACACCGAGATGGATGATCGGAAGTTAACAAGAATTGGATCATTGATTGGATGTTGAAGAACATTTTTCCTCGTTGTAGCAGTATCGCGTGATATCGTTCGAAGAATGAGACTGTCTTATTGATTGTAATTAACCCGAGGAGTCGACAATCGTCACCGCGATA